GTAGCAGACTCATTGTGTGTATGAAACAGATTTTGAAGTATAAGAGATAACAGTTCCATTTCAGCAGCATATTGCTTATGAAACAGTACAGTAAATCCTGATGTCAAACTAAAATAATCTGAGAATACTGTGAGATGCTGCATGTACTATATCACATTTTTCTGATGCAAAAGGAACATTTATCAGAACGTGAATTTAGTCAGCTGTGAAGTGGTGGCAGCGTTTGTTTTGTTTCAGAATAAATCACAGTTTGATTTTGATGTTGATGCCCTTTTATCAGAAGGCATTAAATAATCAGGCCTTCATGTTTTAGTGTAGAATACCTTACGTGGAATATTTATTTCAGAGATGGATGTGTTCAACGCAGTAAGGAGGGGAAGGTTCTTAACAGATTAAAGGGAAAAAAGCAGTTCCCCTGGGGGCTCAATAAAGGCTTTCAATTTCATGTGAATATATGATGGATTTTGAAAAGCGACTAATACTTAATTAAATTTGGTAAAGTGTAAATATATGATTAATCTTGTGGTGACACAATTGCTGTGTTGCCAGTGATGGTCTCACAGATAATTTAATCCTGTGAGTATAAATGCATGTGGAATAAACATTTTTACAACTTGAATAATTCAGTAGAAGTTTGGCCTCTATCACACATCCTTGTGTCTCAGGAATGGGCTGGTCAAAGAAAAATAAGCTGAATTCTGCAGCTGACACTGGCAACACGATTGCATTGCACTGCGTCCACTGATGAAAGTATTTGGCTTCAGTTTATTATTGCGACGCAGATTTCTTGGGTGTATCGCAGACCTCGTGAACCTTCTGTTTGTAAGAACAAGTAAGCTGACTAAATAAAAGTTTTTGTAACCAGAAAACTGGTCTTGAAAAAACATTAACCAAAAAAAATGTGCGCGAGTCAGGATTTCATTTTGGTTGTTGGAAGGCACACACGAGCAACCCTGACGACTGGCATTCCTCTGTGGAGTTGGGCATTTTCCATTGGTTCCTGTGGAGAGTCAAAGGTTGTATTCAGTCCTATTGTGGAAAGGGCAAGTTTACAGTCCCATTTCAATTAAATCTGGGATGCAGACCTACTCGTGTTATTGCTGAGGGAATAAATGTAACTGTACAAGTTAGTATACCTTCTATGTCTGGAAACATTTCCTCATTTTAAGTCATGTTTGCCTTTTGAATGCTTAAACTATGTCCTCATTAGTTATGTTGTAAGTTTGATGATTGTTCGGGGTATTTAATTCATATCTCTATGAAGTAAAATCGGTTTGTGATTGAAATCTGTCTTCTGTTAAAAGTCTCGATTTTTCCGTGCAGCAGTTGCGCATGTGTTATTGAAGTAAATTGATTGCAGTTTTTATTAATTTTGCCCTTTAGTGTTTAGTTTTTGTAATGAACACTTTTTTTTTACTCCTTAAAAATCTTTTATCATAGGGCTCTTGAGAACATTAGTGAAAACATTTACATTTTTTGAAACCCTCAATCATTGCCTTCTAAATATGTGTGTCTTAATAATGTGATAAATAATCTTTATTTTCCATAAATGTCTTTCATTATAAAGCATCTAAAGGCACTGTACCATAAACCGAGCTAGAAGGGAGGCACAATAATTAAATATCAATTTAATTGAAGACCTAGAGTAGATAACTGACTTGGGATACAGAATTTGATATTTCAGGAAAAGAAAACATCAGTCAGTGCTTATTTTTCAGTTTTTTATTGCTCATTTTCACTGTAGTTTTTTAAAAGATAAAAAAATAAAGATACATGTGATACTAAACTTAACCTTAAATAAGCCTTTCATACTGTCCATGTCGCTACTGCATACTTTTAATTTAGTGTTACCTGTAATTTCTTACATCAGCAGTATACATTTCTTGTCTAGCGTTATTTTTATTAGGAATCTAAATGCCTTGTTAATATTTTGTGAGGTGGAAAATCAAATTTTGAATATGTCCAAGAAGAAAAGTCAACAGTTATATTTATAAAGGATGATTATTTTATTGATCAAAAGCAATCTTGGGATAATGTCGTTCTTACAGGCTTTCAGAACGTGGTCTAGTGCGTCTGTTGACTGAAGCTCCACGTATAACAATAGATATTCCTCCCTGTCTGTCTGGCTGTAGCAGTACCTGGCCTTTGGCATTCGGTCAGTTATCCCAAAATTCAAAATAAAAAATGTGAAAATAAAAACAAGGCAAATTCTGTAATCTAATATTAGATTTAATGATTGTAAAAATGCAGGCACAATTTCTTGAAATAAATCCCATTTCTTTAGTTTTGTGACCTGAAGTCATTTTCTTCTGAAATAATTACGTGAGATCAGTGCCTTATTTTTATTAAAGTTGTGCAATGATGTACAAAGTACGTTTCATGATGCATTTTATGAAAAGGACCAACTGGAAGGACAATTAGCTTATTTTATTAAATGACGAGTGTCAGAACTAAATATTGGAGTGCGCAATTGTTCCCTAGTAAGTCCAGAGCCACACACTGATAATAGAAGAATCTTCACCTATTGTTAATTTTAATGTTTAATAATTTGCTTTTTGCCTGAAAGGGGTATCAGATTAATTCAGCCCCTTTAGCTTTACCTGCATCAACACACCGATAGCTTGAAGCTATTGGAACCAAAAAAGGCAAAATGTGCTTTTTTTACACACACCTTGATAAGGCTTCTTTGCATTTTATCTTAAGATAAGACTCATTAGTAGTCATGGTGATGAGTGAATTTTACAATTTCGGTGTTCTCTACACTTAAAATAAATGCAGAACTTAGAAGCACAAGATCTGAATCTAGGGCTGTTCACTATGATCACTGTGAAAAGGTTGCTGGAGGTTTAAGAAGAGACCCCCCACCTTGTGCTTCTGCAGTAGTAGGTGTATGTCATGGCTTCGGCTTGCTTCAGGCAGGTGAGTGTGGAGTGAGCGGTGCCGTTAGGCGCGTGTGCCGTGTTCAGCATGGGTACTTTCTCTTAAAAGAAAAGGACGGAGGCGATAGTCTGCCTGTTCTCACCCCATCGCTTGAGATCCTTTCTAGAGCTACTTTAGCAAAGCTGCTGAATGAGTCTGAATATGTGCTCTGCAGGTGTATCAGTGCACACAATTTT